ACCTAGAAGCGCTGGCCTCCAACCTGGAAGCGATGGCCTCCAACCTAATAGTGATGGCCTCCAACCTAGAAGCGATGGCCTCCAACCTAGAAGCGATGGCCTCCAACCTCGAAGCGGTGGCCTCCAACCTGATTGCGATGGCCTCCAGGCTAGGGGCGTTGAAGCGATGGCCTCCAATAGTGATGGCCTCGAACCTAGAAGCGATGGCCTTCAATCTAATGGCGCACAGGACCAACATGAGGTGTGATGAGTCCCTTTTGAGGATAGAAATGACACGGCCCTCACCGAAAGTAAAAAAAAGATCCACTCCGGTCACCTAGTCAGACCAATCTTTAAATAGTCGGACTCTGTGGGGTGACATGACCACGTTAATTGACCATGTGCTGGCTGGACCCAAGGGAGAGCTGGACGCAGAACGTACTGCTCGCTTGGAGATCCTGCATCACTTGTGACTGGTCAAGAAGGAGAGATTCGAGATGTTTTGAGTCCAAAGTGCGCACATTTTCATGTCAAGCAGCTTAGGCTGAACTATGTTGGACATCGAAATCATCATGAGACCATTTGTGTTTCAATCTGATCCACTTGTGGAGTTTCCAGACTTGATGCGTGCAGATTTGCTTCGTCCCACTTCCCTCGGGGTTTGGTCGCGTTCCGTTCCATACGTGGTCTGCGCGGAAGGGAGCAATCCTAGAAGGATCTTGAGATCAACTTGCTACAGGACCATTGGTCTCAGACTTCCAATGCATGTTTGAAGCTGGCAACTCCAAACTCATGGAGACATAGACACTTCGGCCTAGACCTTTGATCCTTTCTGTGACGGGACCGGTTCGTGACCATCGTGACCTGTTTTTCCGCCGCTGAGGCAGCAGCTGAAGAAGTCGGAGCTGGCAGAACTGAAAGAAGTGGGGTCCGAGCCTCTCGGGGCTCTCGGGTCTTTCAGCGGCTTCAGCCGGTTCTGCACGGTGTTACTATATGTTCATTGTCTTACTCAAAAATGGGGGTGGTTAGTCTATATTCATGTCTACATGCCTGCACGACGGATCTGAACTCCTCAGCACCCCTCCAGTCGGACATCTGAAAAGAGGTCTGGGCAAGGTGACCAACCGCCGGGCGTTTGTTTTGAGACAGAACTGAGAAAATAAGGCTTGGTGATTCTTTAAATTAATTGCATCACACCTGGAAGGGAATCATTCGAAATCAACCATCAAGTCAAGGTGTAAAAAGCCTTGGGAGGATTCCCAAGGCAACACAAAAAGGATCGATTTGAGGTTAAAGCCAATGGGGTGTTGTTCAACTGTAGGAGGTTAAGTTGCCCTAAAAATCTGAGCTATCCTGTGTCCGTATGTAGTAGCTTACTTGTAGTTACTAGCTACCTCAGTTCCTTAATTAATTAAGTAGGCACCTACTTAATTCAGGGAGTGGGCTAAAAGCAAGAAAGTGTTTGGGTGGGTCGAAAAGAACCACTGACCTTCAGCAGCATTGCTGAGGCAGGACAGCGCCATCTCTCCGGTGACCAACCCACCTTGACCGGAAAAGCGCGCGGCAGATGAAATGCATCGGAGCTCTGGCCGAACAGTCCAACCAACTCTGTGGATGTGGTGATGACCATGATGAAACGGACGGCCGGGTGTGGCTGTGTAGGACATTGAATGGAAGCCATTGAAGGAAAGCGATACGGTAAAACTGCAGCACATATCCCACAGTGTCCACATCGATTCTAGGGTCAGGCCAGGCTTGCTGCACATGGATTCGCCCTGCATGGCAGATTCCCAGGTCAGCTTTCGGCTTCACTGAAACCGGCTCAGCGACAAAAAGAAACAGCGACATGTCCCCGATGTTTTCGATGGAAGTTTCTTTTTGAGATTGGCTTGAACTATATTTATATATTCCTTGCGAACATGCTTGGCCCCTAGGGCCTGTTGATTGCCATTGGTGAAGCTGAGTAAAGGTGTTCAGATTTGAAAGCTTTACATGTCAAGAAACAGCAAGTGCTTTGTGACCTCATGAACAAATGCATGCACCTTCAAAAACCGGATTCTTTCGGTAGTGCTTGTTGATAATTGCCGATGGATTGAGGCATCTTAGAGAGAAGATAAATGCTGGCAATATATTTACCTGCCGAAGCAACGTTCTTTACTTCACTTTAGTTCTTTAAAAAAACCACTCATGTGACAGAAGGATAGAATCCAACGGACTCCCATCAATCTTGACGCTTGGCCTTCCCATTGATTGATCCACGGTATTGGCCATGAACAGAGCATCGCTACTAGTAACAAGTGCTTCGCTACTAGTAGCTAGAAGCTACTAGTAACACGTGCATTACTAGTAGTAGCAAGAAGCTACTAGCAACAAAGAACAGATGCGGATTTTTCGACGTGAGCCTCCAGCCGCGACATCAGCTGCTGCGGATGTCGAGGCCACTGCTGCTGTGTTCACCAATAAGGGAATGTCTGCCTGTTCAACATCGCTTTGAAGGAACAATGAGCTAGAATGCACAGACTGCAAGGGAATTTCAACTTAGCACGGTCCCAAAATGACCAGCTTTTATAATAGGAGTCTGGGTGAGAGAGTGTTTTCAAATCCTGCTCGTTTCCAAGCCCCAATCTTTATCCTTCCATCTTGTCAGAAGGCTGGCTGCTCTACTTGCTTTGCAGGCAGGCCTGGCGTTATCGACCAGGGTCCACCATCTAACCCCCCTCGTTTAAGGGCCCCATGGAAGTTATGGAAACGTTCTCTTCATCGCCGTGGAAACCGTCGGCTGCTTTTTGGACCGATGGAAACCTGGTCCTCCAGGTGCCGGTGGAAAGCCAAGTCGCTGATGGGTCGGCAGCTCAGCCATGCCGCCGAATAGGTGGCTGATGATAGGACTTCGTGTCACATGAACCCTGCAAGTCAATGGCGGTGCCCCACTTCCAACGAGTCAGCTGAAACCAAGCCATGGGGGTGGATGAGTCTAGTCTACCTGATGTGTCCCCCGCTGAAGTGATTCATGCAAGTCTCACATGTACTGGGTTCACTACTCGTAATGTAGAGCAATCACTTTTCAGCGTGGGCTTCAAGCTTTACCTGAGCCCCCAGCAGATCTTGAATTCACGCCCAGTGCCCTCAATGCCCACAGTGTCGCATGTGGACCAGTTCAGAAATGCTTCCTCTGTCAGATCTCCGGCGATTATTTTCGCTGGAACCTAAGATTCCTCCAGATTCCTCCTTGTCAGGCGTTCTCTTGGAAGTTGCTCAGGGCCTGTCGCCCTGGAGCAGCTCATGTATTGAGCTGCAAGTGCTGCGAAGCATGTCCTGCAGTCGACTCGAGCTCTACGCCTATCACCGCAATGCAGCCGCTGCATCCTGCGTGCGTCAACGGCGCTGGCGCAGTGCGTTGCTGCTGCTGGGCACGAACATTCCACGCCGTAACACGAGCGCTGCAGTGAATGCCTTGAAAAAGGCGGGCCATTGGGCGCTGGCAGTGGCTCTGCTGGAGTCACTCGCTCAACAACGAACTAGACCCGATGTGAGCGGGCACAATGCCCTGGCAAGTGCCCTGGAACTCAGCTCTTGGAATCAGATCCTCTCGATCGTCCATTTTGCCGCCCTTCTGGACGAGGATATGACTTCTCATTCGTTGCTGCGAGTCTCTGACTGGGCTTTGGCCGTGGCTTTTTGGAGGACCTTGCAATTGAACGGGCACAACCCGGACACCATTGGCACCAATGCTCTGATGGCGCCAATCGCCCAAGCCGGTCAGTGGCAGCGTGCGGCCAGTGGCTTGCAGGAGCTCTTTCGCACCCATCTTCGCAGGGATGGTGCTACTTATGCGACTGCCATGGACTCCTGCCAAAGAGGCAGTTGGACAAAGGCACTCGACTTCTTGTTGCAGATGCGGTTTCAAGCTCTGTGTCCGTGTCGCATACAATACACGGCCGTTTGCGATGCCTGCGCGGCTGCTGAAAGCTGGGAGAGGGCGTTGCATGTGTTCGACATCGCTAAGATGATGGATGCATGGGATGCCCTTCTTGGAACATCAAGCTTGGCGGCCATGTCACGGAGCAACCAGTGGACCTCAGCAATGTATGCTTTTGCTGCACTGCCGGAAGTGTCCCTTGAGCCGAACACCATCACTAGCACGACAGTGCTGACTGCCTGTGAGCGTGGACGGAACTGGCAGATGGGGTTGATGGCATTTAGTTGCATGCTGGAGGAACGCTTGGTCAACCACATGTCTTTCAGCACTGTCATGCAAGCTTGTGACAAGAGTGGTGAGTGGCAGCTTCTCTTTCACCTATTGGGGAGCATGACTAGTGTTCAGCTTCAGCCAACCAGCATGGTTTATACCGCTGTGCGGAACAGTAAAGCTGTTCCGGCTCTTGCCCTTGCTGACATTGTTACTGCAGCCTTGCAGCCAAGAACAAACAAGTTGATCCAGTGCCGTTTCAATCTCGTGGATGTGCAACGCAAATTTCTGCTGATCATTCTTTTGAGCAGCATAGACTTAAACAGGCTCAAACACAGGACATGGCTAAGAGAAGAGACACTGGAACAGCTTTTGAAGCCTGCAGCCATTTCACATCCAAAGTTCTGCAGACACAAAGTTGTTTCAACTGATCAGATCTCTTTACACAAGCCGAGTTACTCCATCATTGAGCTTGGTGCCACCGCCATGGCTGATTCTGACATCCAACTGGCCAAAGTTGTGGAACTTTTCACCAAGCATTCAACCAAAGATGGTCACAGGGCTTAAAGATGCTTAAAGAGCTGACTTGGTGCGTTGACGATAATGCATGCAAAGAGCTTTCTTGATGGGAGCTGAGGTTTTGTTCCAACAGAGTCTTGGCACGCAGATCTGAATTTGGTTGTAATCCATTGCAATCCCTTCATTTTGCATTTGGCAGAGAGAGCTTGTGAGACAAGGCCCTTTTGAAGAAGATCTTGGGGGCATGCTGCAGCAGCCTCTCACAGGAGGAGGTGGCGAGGCTTGTGGAGGCGAGGGAGCTTGTTCGGTTTCGACCCATGAGCCCGTCCGCCGCTTGGGAACGACCTAAACTTAATTCTAATAGCAAACATGGTTACTACTAGTAAGGCACTTGTTACTAGAAGCGATGCACTTGTTCCTAGTAGCGAACATAGCTTCTAATTAAACTCAATTCTAATTACTAATTCTTGTTTCTACTAACTAGTAGTAAGGCCCTTGCTCCTAGTAGCGATGCCCTTTGCTCCTAGTAGCGTCCTTGCACATTGGTCCCTCACCCAAAACTTCTCTCTCCATCGCTCCCCTTCGCTGCTTCCACCACCTGCCATCGCAGGCCATGGACGCGCAGGGTGCCGGCCAGGTGGGGCGTAACGAATCTCCTTGTTCGTCCGTGGTGGGAGCGATTGGCCCACTTCACTTGGAGCGTGATGGAGCGATCCGAAGGATTTTTCGTTCCCCAACTCTTGGCTCCCATGAGGAATGGACCCAATCTAGTGACTGATCTATGGTTTGGGTCCACCCGCGGGTGATTCAGAATGGAGGTTCCGGGGGCCGATCCTGACCACCCCCATAAGGTCCCTCTACAGAGATTTTGTCCATCACTCACAGGCCAAGTGGTGATGTGAGAGTGCGAACCCGGCCGGGCTGGGTCTTTCACCGGTTAGATGATTTGTAGAGATTGTGTCTTGCAAGA